GGCATATTGTAGGTCGAGGTCCATTGATTTATAAACATCCGTGAATTTTTGACAGTCGCGAAGTAGATAAAGTCCGTCAGATTCAAGATTATAAACAGAGACCCCGTCCGCCAAAGAGTAACACTTGAAGTCCATTTTGTTTTGTGTCAGTGTACCTGTCTTGTCACTGAACAGAAATTCAATTTGGCCAAGTTCGTCCGCCAAATTTGTTGCATTAACTTGGCTGGGTCTATCTGATTCGGCATCGTACAAATTGAGGTCTTGCGATATGTAAAGGGCCAGAAATAGCTGTAGCACTTCCGCTGTGACAACAATTGAAACCGGGATAAGATAACTAATTATAAACACAATTGTGAACCCTTCTTGGACAACTCTCCAAACGGTTGTTTCATTAAAGAACAAATACCAACCCATGCCGGCAGGTGTTCTTCGCCATGAGAATTGCAATGCAACAGTAATAATAGTGCAAAGAAGCATGCAAGCCATGAAAATTACCAAAACAAGATTAAACCTCCCAGTGGTTGAGGAAAATTTGCGCTTTCCAGTCTTGGCATTTAAGGAGAGCTTTGATTCCTTGCCAGTATATACGGCAACCCCGACAATACAGTCAGTAAATCGAAGAACTGCGCCACGGAAAGCCATATTATCAACGGACACTGGAATCGTATTGTCTTCGTATTCTAGGCGTCCTTCAAAAACCTTGAAGTCATCCGTCGGCTGCTGGCAGATAATTTTCGTCGGCGGGAACTTGGCCTGTCTGATCTGCTTCACCTCTTCTGGTGCCTCGAAGCCACATATCACTTCTGAAAATGGTTCTTGTGTTGTTGCCAACGAATATATCGTTTTTATAGCTGATTCGCCGTCCAAATTGCCTGTAGTTTCATAGACTTTACCGTTGGAATTGCTTGTGGCAAGAACAATGAGGTCACACGGAAAGGCCTCATTATCTTTGCATAAAACAAGATCCCCGGGTCTTATTTTCTTGGCGGCAACCGGTGTCCATCCCGAATCCTGCGTTTCCTCGAAATGCTTCCAGACGAGGTAGGGTCGGAGGTTCACTTTACGATCATTCAAGTGCCTTTTAATATCATCAACAGCATCCTTAATCATTGAGATGCTAACTACAACGACGAGAGGTCCAATCGTTGTACCAGGATTAATTGGGGTTTCACCGTAAAAATAAAGAATCGAAATTATAACGAAAAAAAAGTTCGCCACGTTGTGATACTGTTCAAAGAGGTTCAAGAAAAGAAAGTTCCACCAAGTGTAATGAGATGAAGTAATTTCGTTGTTTGGGTACTTCCTGTTGGACATCTTCGTTTCTTTGCGAAGTTCAAAACGATGGTTCATTGAAATGATCCTTTCCGCTCCCATGCCATTTTTCGACCGTTTCTTTTTAAAAAGTTTCATATTGTTTTGTATATGACTTTCGCTTCGTTTGATGACGTTTTAAACCTAATGATTGCGCAGGAATAAATAAATTTGTTGCCTACATCAAGCAGCAGCAGCCTGGTATTTAAACTGTTCCTCAAGGTGAACAATCTTCCTTAACTGAGTTCTAATTCAATATTGACAGTGCTGAGATCAGAGAAGGTTAACATTTTGTCTATTCCCAGATAATTCTGTGTATATTCGGCGCTAATATTCCGTAGTTACTGACTGAATTAGAAATTTAACATATTCAACAGAGCCATATAGGAGGTTTTAGGATCGGAAGGATTTTGCAGAACAAATAAAGCTGTTGTTCCCTAGTCCGTCTTTGTTTGAATATTTGAACCTCACAACTTGCATTATTCCAGTTTCATAAAGCACTTTCCTCTTTATCGCCTTACAGTAATTTTTGCGCATCGCCTTTTGGAAAACTTTGTGTTTCAAGAAAAACCTATATTTGCATATATCTTGAAGGATGATCCTAACATGATATTTGTACTAGTTGGGACGTCCACGCAATTTGAATTAGCTTAAGCAGCGTTTGTATTACGGGAACCATGCCAGCTGAACAGTAGCAGAACTTAAATCTTGTTATGATAAGGCAAGTGTGTCTCGACACTGGTTCTACTAGATTCGTACGAATTGCGTGTCACGGGACCCCAGTATCAAGTTGGTCCTGTCCGGCTTATATTATTTCAACCGGACACGTGATATTCTATAGTTAACGGACACAAGCTTTGTTGTGTGCAATAAATGTGAAATCCTAATTTCTCCACTGTTCTATGGACAAACTATGAGGCTCACTAGGTGAGCCTATTTTGTGTCCGAAAACGCCCGTGCGTTTAATCAATCCACTTGCGAATCGTCTATTTTCCGCATGGAGTCACTTGCGAACACTTTCTGCACAAATTCACTGTGCCAGTAGGAACATCAAACTATCTTGTTACAGGGTTTGGCATTGCTTTTACTTATTTTGCTAGTCATGGTCACATAAAATTACCTGATCCTACCTCAATTCTAAGCCATCAATGTAGAAAGATGGGTTGTTGTGTTTGTCTCAGTTTGCTCATGTTGGCTTGTTGAGCAGAAGTGATGAAATAAACATATTTCAGATGCTATAAACGTTTAATATACAAGAAAGTAATGGGAAGAATTATGGCTGTATTTCCGCTCACGTTAAGCAGGCTTGGTGAAGTCCGTGATGCCTCATTCGGCCCTACGACAAATTCAGGGATAACTAAAAATACCCTTGTTGGAGTTTGAAGATTTCAGTGGGTATGGACGTTATTATAGAAGAAGCGACCAGTTTCCCTTTGCATAAATGATGATGTCATCGGCATTTTGGCAAATGCAAACTGCTTTTAAATGAACGCACTTTGCGTATGATATTTTGGTACCTAATCTAATTATTCCATTCTCACCTCCACGGCAATATAAGTCAAAGGTTGCAACAAATTGCAAGGTGTCACCGCAAGCGCCAAGTTCGTTCGATTTATAGGTCCTAAAATACAACATGCAAGGTATGGATGACATCGGTTCAGGAATTGTTTAAAAGCTCAGACGATTGCGCCTATGAATTTCGTCGGAGGTTTGTCTGCGACCACACAAAAAGGGAAGGGGGTTTCCTCTGCCTCCGTGGACACCCGCGCCATCAGTCTTACGACTGCTTTTCTTTTTAAGGCTAGTTCGCTGGAATTTTAGGTCACTGCCCTCTACGAGGTTATTTGACCGGCAGTGTTGATGGGCACTACTTTCGGATATAGGGCTTTAAAAGTTGCACACCTTTTCCTCTTCGTTCTTCCTTTACACACTTGCATGAGTAATTTATGAAATGTTCTTGAATGGGTTCCCCTGCTTAAACACACACGAAAAATGTATATGTGTTGCTGTTTCGCTCCCTGTGCACTCGCCATATTTCTTACTTTCTGTATATGCTCGTGATGGTGGAGTCCTTGAATTTGCGAAGAGGTTGGCTGTAAAGATATGTTTCTGAACTCACTACTTTAAACTACGGAGAGGTGTTGATTTCCGTCTTTGGAGATGGATAACAACGAAGAGCTTACCTGCCCGCGATACCCTGCATCTGGGCTTGGTGGGTTTTTTTACTTCACCATCCACACTGCCACCAGTAATGCATCCTTTTGAGACATTTTGGCGGGGTAGTATGCTACCGATGACGGTGCTGCAGAATAAACTTGACGTGTCTTCTGCATACAATAAATTCACCGCTTTGCATCACCGTGTCAGCTGTTCTTCATGCGCTCTGTGACAGGCAGTCCCTCCTCGAACCAATGTCAGAATACGTGCACACGCAACCAAAAACTCGTCGCTGGACGCTGGTTTTCATTGACTGTATACCTGGTAGTCATGCACAGGATACGTTCTCTGTCACACGATAGTTCGAGCATCGATTTCGATTATGTCCACCGTATGCCCCACAGCGGCAGCGATGGGAGCAGGGACGGTGACTTGCGCAGGGGGTTACAGTGCCAGTAGATTTGTGCTGAATCTACCTACACTCTCTTCTCCTCCCCCGCCTGAGCCCGGTGTCAAGAGAGAGTAAAGAAGACTGGAGACGAGGGAGGCCGCATGTGGATGGCACGATCGAGCTCGCACCTTGGCGTTCCACTCCACAACCCCTGATCCACACAACAAATGACCAGGTTTTTGAGCAACAACAGAGGATGGAGGCTGGCACAGCCGAGGCCGCACCTAGCCGTGCCACCAACTTCTGCTCGGATTCCACACAGTGGGAGTGTCATAAAGGCCACATTAAGAGGAAGCCATTGCAGCCAGACTTTCAGATCACCAGCCGGCCACTCCACACAAACGCACACAACACTGTGCCGACTGTTACGTCCAATTTATCTCGTCCGTTGGCAACCATTCAGGCCACGGCTTTTAGCTCACCGTGATAGCTTCAAGCGCGTCAGACTGTTTATAGTGAGGAGAATGCACTGAGTCGTCGACCTCACTCTCCACTCCCATTCCTGTGCCTCAGCCACTGTCCGAGACGGTCAGCTGACCGCATCGGGGAGTGGGCGCGGTGGCTGACATGGTCCAGTGACCTTGTCCGCGCGCACCAATACACGACCTGGCCCCCCAAACACAAATACCAGAATTCCACACAAAATGGGTTGAACGGCGTACCTCTCACATGCGTAAGAGTGCCGTGTGAGGAGCTGTTTCGGCCCGACTCCCAGCCCACCAGTCAGCCACTCCACACAAACACACAACTGGACGAACTGCGTGGACCGAGTTGGGGCGTTAATCAGTAGCCTTCAAGTCCGCGGCGCTTAATGAACCAGGGTAGTCCCAGGCCCGATTCACCCACGCAACGGGTGCCGCATGAGACCGAGTCCAGATGCACACTTGCCACTTGCGTGGGAGGGGGCAGCTGGGCGCTTGCAGCAGGTGATGTTGATGTGCGGTGCGATGCTGGTGAGGCCGGATGTGATGGTGTGGTGCAGCCGGCAGTTGTCTACCTCATGTTTTCGTGGATGCGCATGCGGCCGAATAGGCCTATGCGATGCACGAGTGTGTGAGGGCACTGTGGACAGTGGAGGCGGATGCGGCGGACATTCCGGACAGGAGTTGGACTTGTTGAACACCTTCAGATCAACTGCATCGCTCGGACCTCATCAACTGTCTTTCCGGCCGCCTCTACCTCGTCCTCTACTCCGCCAACTAACACTGACAGCTCTCCTGAACCGCCACCTCCATCCTCCTCCTCCTGCCCATCCTCCTCCGCTGTTTCAGCGCCTGTCGTTGTGGCGCCTGCCAAGCACACCAACACTGCGCACAATCTTGACACATCCTTAAACATCAACACCACCGCCGTCGACACCAGAGGCGAGGACCAAGATTACACCTGCCCTCACTGCGACCGCGCCTTCACCTCACACATAGGCCTGGTCGGTCACTTGCGAATCCATCAAACAGAGACTAGCGAACCGGTGCCTGAAGCACCAATCTTCGCCCGCCGCACCTGCCTTCACTGTCCACACTGCCCTCGCACTTTCACGCATCGCATGGGCCTTTCGGCCACATACATATCCACGAGAACGGAATTGCCTGCAGTCCCGTCAAACCCACCACGCCCAGTCCCACCCTCACTTTGTCACCTTGTGCGCCCATCATCATCACCGCCACCTCCTTAACTGACACCGACACCACCGACTTCTCATGCCCACACTGTCCACGCACATTCACTTCACGCATCGGCCTGGTCGGTCACCTGCGAATTCATCGCACAGAGGCTGCGAACCAGTGCGTGAAGCACCCACGTACATACACATGCCCACACACACACACACACACACACGACGACGACGACCATCGATTTCGATGATGTCCACCGTGTGCCCCACAGTTGCAGCAGCAATGGAAGCAGGGACGGTGACTTACGCAGGGGTTTATAGTGCCGGTAGACTTGCGTAGCATCTACCTACACTCACACACACACACACACGAAATAACAGTTCGACCGTCGTTGCCGACAATGTCCGCCGTGTGCTCCACAGCGAGGTGAGAGCATGGAAGGCGTCATGTGTGTGATTTAGTTTATAGCGAATGTAGACTTGCACAGCATCCACAGCACTCTCTCCTCCTCCCTCACCTGAGCCCGGTGACAAGACGGAATCAAGAAAACTGGAGGCTGGAAGGACGCAGGTGGATGGCACAGACGAGCCCGCGTATAGGTGTACCACCACACCCCCTTGTCCACACATCAGCTGACCAGGATTTTAAACAACAACAATGATGGGGGCGGTAGGGTTCCCATCTTACTCGACGTGAGTCGGCAGCAGGGTCTGCCAGCACACACCGAAATGGTGGACTTTCTTTTGGTGCATTTCGATAACGCCTGTCGGAATCCGATATGGCCCCCGTGTTGGTCCAGCGCATCTACTTCGCGGCCCCTTTTGGGGGCACAAACACGAGTGTTCGACCGCGGATCTCGACGATGCTCGCCGTGTGCTACACAGTAAGGAAAGAGCAGGCACGGTGACTTGTACGTAATCTAGTATGTAGTAAGGGCAGACTTTCGCAGCATCTGCCGCACCCTCTCATCCCCACTTGAGCCCCGTGTCAAGAAATAAGCAAGACGGGAAACGCGAGAGGACACAGGTAGCTGGCACGACCGAATCCGCACCCAGGCGTACCGCCACACCCCCTGGTCCACAATAATATTGGTGATTTGAGTAGTTGTACCGGCAGCAGTAGTCGTAGTTTACTGAGTTGCAGTAGTTGTGACTGAAGAAGGGTTGAGTAGCAGTAGTTCTAGCTGTGGACGTTTTCATACTGCTACCACATCCGTTATCAAACGTAGCAATATTGACAGTATTGACGGCGGCAGCATTAGTTCAGTTCAGTTTATTGAGGGAAATAAGCATAAGCCTTTGAGTACCCTATTTACAACGTAAAAAATGTGTGGTGTACAGATAAATGTTCTGGGCTAAAATAGTTCGAACACGTCCATAATGGTGGGACAAAATGAGAAGGAGTTACAGCGAGTGAGCTCGACTTCTCATCGCTCTTGGTCATTTCGGAACATAAATATGTCCAGATTCTTCTTAAAACTTTGTATAGATGGTGACATCACAACATCTGCGGGAAGGTCATTCCATGGTTTGACCACTCGAACAGAGAAGGAGAACTTCCGTACATCCAACCTTGCATGCTGAGTGCGCAGTTTTAACGGGTGACCTCGGAGGTCGGTCGTGGTAGCACATTCAAAGAAGTCCTCGAAGGCCAGACTGCAATCCAACCCCTTTACAATGCGGAAGGCTTGCAAGAGATCTCCGCGAAGTTGCCTGTAACTCAAAGGATAGAGGTTCAGATTTACTAGGCGGGTTGCATAAGGAAAGGAGCTTTGACCCCTAACCATCTTCGTGGCTCTCTTCTGGACCCTTTCGAGGCAGTTTTGATCCTCAACAGCCCACGGCCTCCAGGCTTGTATGCCGTACTCTAAATGCGGCCGGACGAATGTTCCGAATGTCTTAGAGAAAGATTCTTCGTCAAAGTCCATAAACGCACGCTTGATGGCGTACAGTACGGACATTGCGCTTTTTGCCACCCTCGAACAGTGGGCGGATGGTTTTAGGGAACTCGTCGTAAGCACACCGAGGTCCCTTTGGGCTTCGACCTCTTGTAGGGCTGCACCGCCCAGAAAGTAGCCTCTTGTGCTGGCGGATCTGGCTGTGTTGCCTAGGCGAAGTATGCTACATTTGCCAACGTTGAACCGCAAGAGCCAACGGTTTGACCACTCCTCCAACCGATTCAGGTTCATCTGCAGTCTGTCTTCATCGGCAGGACTCCGAATTACACTCCATATCTTCATGTCATCCGCAAACATTGCTACTTCGCAGTCTAAATCTCTTGCGGTATCGTCCACGTAGATAAGGAACAAAATGGGTCCCAGTACTGAACCCTGGGGAACACCACTATCGACCAGAGCCGGATCTGATTTTCCCTGACCGATGCACACAACCTGGTGTCGACCCAAAAGGAAGTTTTCGATCCATTTAAGGAAGTTGCCATCGATCCCTATTTTTTTCAGCTTATGTAAGAGCCTTTGGTGTGGCACAGTGTCGAACGCCTTCTGGAAGTCGATGAAGGCTATGTGGACCGCGTGCCTGTCGTCGAGAGCTCGGGTCCAGCTCTGGAGAGATTGCAACAAGTTTGTCGTGCAGGATCTTCCTTTTCGGAACCCATGTTGGCATTTCGATAGCAGGGCGTGAACTTCCAGGAACTGCATCAGTTCAGTCATTATGATCCTTTCCATAACTTTGCAGAGAATGCATGTCAAGCTTATGGGCCGGTAATTTGTCATCGCCGCCCTGTTACCTCCTTTGTGTAGCGGAGTAATATGCGCCAGCTTCCAATCGACAGGAAGTGTTCCAGTGTCAAATGACGTTTGAAAGAGCATCGACAAAGGCACAGAGAGCTCACTGGCAAGTTCCTTCAGAAGCTTGGGTGGAATCTCGTCTGGTCCTGGCGACTTCGATTCGTTCAATGCCTCTAATTCTCTTCGGACAATTCCTTCTGAGAAGAGTATATCACTGACGCTTGGAGTCGGCAGTTCTTCTGTGGAGGGAGGAAGGAACCTTGTTTCGTTTGTGTAGACTGATTGGAAAAACCATGAAAAATACGCTGCTTTATCCCTACTATCACCGATTTCAACGCCATCAGTAGTCTTGATCAAGGGGATTTGATGCCTGTTCCTTGTAGTTCGTCGGAGGTAACTGTAGAGCAATTTTGGGTTCTGCGTTGCTTTTTGTAGCAAGTTCTTCTCGAATTCCCGCCGCGTCTGCATTATCAGCTTCCTCAGTTTGTTCCTCTGTGTCTTGTAGGTGTTGAAGCATTTAGCTTGTCTAGTGACGCAGTATTTTCTCCACAATTTGTGCTTCCTGTTGATTTCTTTCTTGAGGTTGCTATTTAGCCACCCAGGGCGTTTGTTCAGTCTTACACTAGTCAGTGGGCAGTGGTTGTTGATGAGCTGCAGAAGAACATTCTTGAACAGCTCCCAATCATCGTTGGCACTTCCCGTAAACAATGAGCCTCAGTCAAGACCGGATAAGTCTGCCCTCATCTGATTGAAGTCGCCCCTCCAAACATTACGCCTTTTGTGGTCTGGAGTATGTGAAATGGAGAATAACGAATAATCCCACATAAGCACTACGTGGTCACTTCGGCCAAGGGGCGGCATGGAGGCAATCTTGTCTATGCTGTCTGGTGTTTTCGTAAAGACCAGATCCAGGCAGTTTGCCCTTTGTCCTTCACGTGTTCTCGTTGGGAACATTACATGTTGTGTGAGGCACGCATTTAATGTTTTGCTCAACAGGCGGTAATCGAATGCCGATTTTGGACCTGACGCTTGGAGGGTATTCCAGTTTGTTCCTGGTGCGTTGAAGTCGCCCATGATCATGATGTTAGGTCGACTGGAAAATTTCTCCAACTGCTCCAATAGTTGAGTGTCGGCGATTCGGTCTGTCCTAGGTGGTCGGTAGAGAGTAAGGACATTGAGACACGGGGAACCGGTAGCCTTGATGGTCAACCAGATAGCTTCCGTACTTCACGCAAACTTGGTGGTGTTATCCGACACTGCCAGACCTTCATTCACATACACAACGATACCACAACCCTGACGATGTTCCCTGTCCCTCCGATAAATTTGGTATCCAGGCAAGGCTACTTCGTTATCGCTAATATTCCCGGACAGCCAGGTCTCACTTACTGCTAAAACATCTGGAGACAGCTCAGCAAGGCAAAGTTTTAGTTCGTCTAGTTTCGATATGAGGCTTTGGGCATTCGTGTACAAGCACCTCAGTTTAGCACCAGCCGAATTTCCCGTTACATTTGTTACTGCTGTGAGCATTACTCCGTTATCGCGGACGTCGTGTTCTCTAGGCTCTTCTGTTACCTGATTGGTTCCATTTACATGCCTTGTTTCAGTCAGATCACTGGACGCTACGGGCTCACTTGTGTTGGCGCCTTGATCAGGTGGTTCAACGAAGGTGTCTGTTTTAGCTGAGTAGCTGTCGTCGTTCGTAGTATTACAGGCTGGTTCCACTGAAACGGCATATATTTCCGAACTACCTTCCCCTTGAAGATAGCCAGAATTTGTTCGCCATCCTTCAGTCTTGATTTTAACTCCAAGACAAGTTCCCGGCGTTTCAGCCGTTCCGCTGGTGGATAGTCCGGTTGAGAAAAATCCTGTTTGTGTGTTTCTGAGATCGGTTTTTTTTTAGAGAGGATAAACTTGATTTGCTCTTTGTTCTCCAGCATTATTTTGAGAGGGCGAGGTGGTCGTGCTACTGTCCTGGCTTCACTCCTTTTTCCTATCCGGAATGCTTTCAGAACCTTTATTTTCATGTCTGCCGGCAGTAAGTGATTTAGCAGACCATGAAAAGAAGCAAGGTCCTCTGAGACACGGTCTTCAGGTCTGACTGCATTCGATTCTGACTAACCCTGAATAACCAGACACTGCTGGCGTGCATGGTCCTCCTTACTCTGTCTTTCCGGTGAATGCGCTGCATGTGGGCGAGGACGATTTACGGAGTCATCGCTTGAACGCAAACTTTTACTGTCCACTGTAGAAGTCGTCGTCTATGTAGTGGTTTCTGATGTCCCAACCTTACTATTTTTAGAAGCATCCCCG